TTCTTTCTTTCTTTCTTTCTTTCTTTCTTTCTTTCTTTCTTTCTTTCCTTCCTTCCTTCCTTCCTTCCTTCCTTCCTTCCTTCCTTCCTTCCTTCCTTCCTTCCTTTCCTTATAAACTTACTTATTCCAGCCTTTATAACATGACATTGCAAGTTACAATGTCATGTTACATATACACATGTGAGCACATTCATGCATACATATGTCTCTCTAAAAGCTAACAAAATAAAATTATTTTACGGGGATATTTCATTGGATGTGCTGCACCTAAGCAAACTGGGTTTTTTCCCCTACCCTGCTTTTTAAGAACAGGAAAATGAAATTATTGTCACTGAGCTAAGAAGCTAATCAGATGAAGTCCATTATTCATCCTGTCAGCAACTTCTACCACAGAAACTTATCATCTTATAATACAATTTGCCTGTTGCTAGATTTTGGAGAAAGCCTTACTATATATACAGTCTTAGAATTATTTTTTTCCCTCTCATCTTCTCCACCAATGTTAATGCTGTGTCTTTATTTGGTCCCATTTTTCTCCCGTCTTCCAGGTATTGTGAAATAGAGGTAGGTAGCCCTTGGCTTAAGAGCACAACTGAACCCCAAATTCCCATCACTCAGCGAGACCATTGTTAAATGAATTCTGCCCCATTTTACAATCTTTCTTGGGTGGTGCGGTGGCTTTGAGGCGGAGCTCTCGCCTCACAATCAGGAGGCTGTGAGTTTGATCCTAGATAAGAGGCAGATATTTCTCTCTCTGGACACGATGAGAATATATCTGCTGAAAAGAACTCCGCACTGGTGATAGGAAGAGCATCTGGCCAATAAACCCTCAGCTCTATTCAGTTGCCCAGACTCCACCCCGCAAAGGATTATGAGGTCATTAAAATGATGGTGGTGATGATTTAATGATCTTTCTTGTCACAGTTGCTAAGTGAATCACTTCGGTTGATCATGTGACCCTGGGATCATGTGACCCCAGGACATTGCAACTGTCATAAATGAGAGTCTGTTTCCAGGCGACTGAATTTTGATCGCACAAAAAGTGATCACATGACCTGAGACAGAACAACCGCCATAAATATCAGCCAGTTTCCGAGTGTCCAAAATTTTGATCACATGACCGTGGGGATGTGGCAACGGTTGTAGGTGTGAAAAACGGTCATAAGTCAATTCATCAGTGCTGTTGTGAGTTCAAACAGCTACTAAATGAACTGTTGTTAAGTCGAGGCTGACCTGTAAGAACATTCCATGTCTTGGGTCTAGGATTGGGCTTTTTTAGGATATACGCTTAAAAAAAGCCGTAGGCAAAAGTTGTGCAGCAGAAATACAGTCACACAGAAACTGTGGTTTTCAGAACAATAACTTTTTGACTTTCAGCTTTCCGTCTCTGATATCTTTTGTTCTTCAAAGCCAGGAGAAATCTGCTTTTAGAGCTTGCTGAATGAAAAGGGAACAGATTTGCCATGACTCTTAGAGAGGGGAAAATATAAAACTTTTTTGGGAGGGAAAAATGTATGTTGGCTGCAACACTTTAAATAGGCCATGCTTCCTTCCAAATCTCTTTCTGCATCATCCATCCATTCAGGTTTAGGTTTTGTTTAAGAGGACAGTGACAGAATTGGGTGATGTTTTTTTAAAGTTGCCTGCAAGAGCAGTGTTTTATTTCTCCAATATAATGTACTGAAAGTAAAATCGATGTTGGGCGGAAAGGCCAACATATACACAAACAGTGATGGAATCAACCATGGCATTGCAATCATAAGACCCTCATGACTTAAAAAAAAAACCCTTCAAGAAATGAGTAGATTGACAATGGCAATTAGAGAACAGGAAGAAAAAGATTATTCTAAGATTTGTAATTTATTTTATGAATGGTTAGACAGAAGAGTAAGAAATGGAAATGTGATAATAGTAATAATATATTACAATTAATTGACTTAGATTGAGCAAGAGAATGAATATAATTTAGGTAAGGATGAAATATGTTTTTGAAAGATAATAATTACAATATTAATGATAACATAATAATTGACCAATGCAAGATAAAATATTGATTAGAATGGTTTTATATATGTATATATATTAGCAAGTAAGAAATATATAATATTATTATGTGCACAGGATATATGTACCCAACAGACACACTGTTGAACTGAAAGATGGGTTTATATGTTTCTTTTTGTTGTAAAAATTAAAAAAAAAACTTTTTCAAAAGAAAAAACAACCCTGCCAGATGCATTTGGGTCGGTCATCAGATCCAGAGATTTTGTCTTCCAAGCTTTTGGATTCGTGCTGGAACCCATCCTCAGGGAACTTGCCTCTGACAGAAAGTGTGCTTTGGGCTATTCTGTTTGTGGTAGTGCCTCGTTGTGTGTGTTTGTGTCTTTTTAGGTGTTGATTGGGGTGTTGATGGCCGGCTATTAAGTTGTAGGCTGTTGTTTCCTTGTGCTACCAAGCCCTCACCCAGGGGTGGGATTCAAAAATCCCAGCAACTGGTTCACTGCCTGGTTGCTGGGTGGGCGTGGCCATGGTGGGCGTGGCCAATTGGAACTTCTGGGAGGGGCGTCTTTCACATCCCCCAGGGTCCAAATGCTTTCCTCAAGCCTCCAGGAGGGCGAAAACTGCCTCTCCCGGGGTCCTGAGGCCCTCCGCAAGCTGGAAACTTCCGTAGGGCCCATTTTTTCCCCTCCTAGAGCCTCCTTGTGTTCCCTGCACTTATCTGCCTTCAAAACGGACCACGTGGAGACTCCTGGGAGGGGAGGGGAGGGGTGGATGGGACCAGCCAGTCGGTTCAACTACTGGTTTGGCGAACCAGATGTAAATTTAACATCCAGTTTGCTTGAACCGGTCTGAACTGGGTGAATCCCACCCCTGCCCTCGCTTCCTCTTGATAAGCTGGGGTAAATCAGCACTCCTGTGGTTCAATGAAAGCCCATTTCCCAGGCTTCAATTAGTTCCCAGGCTCTTTTTGTGCCTGCTCGTTCAACAATCTTAGTAGCTGTAAAAATTCAATGTGTGTCCTTTTTTTTTTTTGCCTAATTTTTTTCAAATTAATTTTATTTTACATTAAGAAGCGCTTGTAAAAAGAGAGAACTTTCCAAGTTGTAAATTTGATACAATAAAAAATTAATGCCATGTAAAATAATAATGAAAATTAATTAATTAAAAAAACAAATAAGCTCAAAAGGAAGGCTTGATGGACCACTAGGGTTTTTTTTTCCCAGGGGTTGGGTTTTTTTTCCCCTATGTTTTCTAAATTTGGAGCACATCTTCATGACGGGGGCCAATCTTGTCTTCTTTCATTTTAGGATGGGCAGTCCGACATTTTGTACTGTTTCTGGACAGCAGTGACTCAAACTCTGGCTTCAGAATTTCAGAAAGCATCTGAAAGTAAGTACTGAACTCAATACGTATGAGGATGACATTTTTTCTACAGCTTTGAAAATCTTCCCACCATTGTCTTCTGTCGCACTTCTTTTGACCTGAATAATACAGGTGGTCTTTGACTTACGACAATTCACTTAGTGACCATTTGAAGTTACAACGGCACTGGAAAAAAGTGACTTAGGACCTTTTTTCACACTTACAACGGGTTGTAGCGTCCCCATGGTCACAGGATCAAAACTGGGGACTGACTCTCATTTATGACGGTTGCAGTGTCCCAGGGATCATATGATCATTTTTTGCGACTTTTCTGACACGCAAACCGATTCACTTAACAATTGTGTTTCTAATAGAACAACTGCAGTGATTCACTTAGCACAAAAGGTCATAAAATGGAGCAAAGTTCACTTCACCAATATTTCACTTAGCAACAAAACCTTTGGGCTCAATTGTCAAGGACTACCTGAACGGCAAACAGGAAAGGGGTTGTTTTCTCTTTTGGATGAGAAGGGAAACATTTTCAAACTAAAAAAAAACCTCAAGAAAATCCAGTTGCTTTTTGGAAAAGTGGTGGGATTCAAATATTTTTACCATCAGTTCGGTGGGCGTGGCTTGGTGAGCGTGCTTTGCATGCGTGCAAACTTTGCGTGGGCTCGCATCAAATGCACACTTTGCGCAGGCACAGATGTGTTTGCGCAGGTGCAAAGGCATTCTAACTCACCTCCCGCAAGCCTGCACGATCCCGGACACTTCAGCAGCTGCCATGCGGCACTCCTCTGTGCCATGCAAAGCAGTTGCGCTTCAAATTCAGAGGATAAAGGTGAGTAGGGGATGGGCAGGTGGTCCCAACAGCAGAGCAGAGGAGATAACTAGTTTGGTCTCTGCTGCTCATTGCCACTACCAGCTCAGCAGAACCGGCCCGAACCGGTAGAATACCGCCACTGCTTTGGGTCAACCCTGACCTAGATGACTGAGTATCTCCACAGACGCTTGGAGCATAATCTAAGTTGACATCTGAGTGCATTAAGTTCCCCAATGTTAATATAGGCTGACTCTCTTTAAAATAATTGGACTTATTCAAGGCAAGATCGGTGCACTCTTTGAAGGTAACTGCTTTGCTGAGGTAAAAGTTTTGTTTAAATATTTGATTAAAGCTAAGGAAAGAGATTTGTGTGTTTTTATGTTCAGATAACAGATTAACAGAGTTGGAAGCAGGAGTGGGATTCTACCAGTTCGCACCTAATAGTTAGAACTGGTTGTTAAAATTCTAAGCAGTTCGGAGAACCGGTTGTTAGAAGAAATTACTGGTCTAATCTTGTAAGGAAGGCAGGAAGGAAACATTCTGGTGTTGCTTACAGAAACTGCCTCTTTGTTAACCCTTATTACATTCTTGACAGGACTAGACTTCCTGTCTTAGGAACTTTTCTGGAGTATTTTTCCCCTTCTTTGCTGATACTTTGCTTGTGTGGAGTGGCCATTCAAAGTTACAATGGCACTGAAAAAAGTGACTTATGACCATTTTTCACACTTATGACTGTTGCAGCATCCTCACAGTCATGAGAGGCCAGGCGAGGAGATGCGTGCCTCGATGTGAATGATATTGAGTTAGCCACACCCAGCCAATAACATGACCACCAAGCCACATCCACCCAGTCACATGACCATCAAGCCATGCCCACCACCTAAACTACGCCCACAGAACTGGTTGTTAAACATTTTGAATCCCACCCCTGGTTGGAAGGGACCTTGTAGGTCATTTAGTCCAACCCCCCACCCAAGCAGGAGACCCTACACCATGTCTGACAAATGGCAGTCCAGTCCCTTCAGATCAAGGCCACTTTTTAAGCAGATTATTGCCATATAAATGAAGACAGGCAGTCCTTGAGACTTAGGATCACAATGGAGCCCAAAATTGCCGTTGCTAAGCGAGACAGTTGTCACACAAGTTTTGTTCCATTTTATGAGCTTTCTGGCCACAGATGTTAAGTGAATCACTGCAGTTGTTAAGTTAGTAACACGGTTGTTAAGTGAATCTGGCTTCCCCTGTTGACTTTGCTTGTCAGAAGGTCGCAACAGGGGATCACATGACCCAGGGACACGGCCACCTTCATAAATGTGAGTCAGTTGCCAAGTGGCTGAATTTTGATCACGTGACCTTTTGGGGATGCGGCAACGGTTATAAGTATGAAAAACGTTCGTAAGTCACTTTTTTTCAGTGCCTTTGTAAGTTTGAACAGTCACTAAATGGGCTCAAGGACCACAGCTCTTCACAGATTCAGTTATCACTTGTTTTAAATCCGAACAAAATACTTTGTGGTACAGCAGTTGTATTTTATTACAAAGTTGGAAAGGATCTGAAGATTAGCTTTAACGGTAATGGAATTTGAAAGAGTTCCACATAGTTCCTGTTTAATAACATAATTTCTTTTCCTCAGCATGGGTTTTAAAGAGAAAGCATATGAACACGTGCAATTCCATCTGCAGTTTAATTTGAAGTACAAGACAAAGTATAAGACAAATTTTTTGTGTGTCCAGTCACACTTGGCCAATAAAGAATTCTATTCTATTCTATTCTATTCTATTCTATTCTATTCTATTCTATTCTATTCTATTCTATTCTATTCTATTCTACAGCCCGATAAATCTTCCTATGCCCATTTTTATTATTTCCAAAACAAAAATGGAATTTTGGAAAGATATTACAAAAACAGTGTTTTTCTGTTGGTCTATTTATGTTGTGACTTGCCAGTGGCCAGCAGAGCTGGTAGCAGACTCGGATTGTGAGGGAGTTGGGGAGAAACATGGGCCAGTCCTGGCGTTTGGGGAAGGCTCAGATGAGTGCTCTGCGTTGGAGGCAGAGATGGGGCCAGGGCCGTCCAACAGTTATCAGCTGCCTTTAGAGTTGGAGATCAGTGGGGCAGAAGAACAGCTGGAGCCTGTTCCCAATGTGTGCATGCGCAGAGCTGCCAGGAGAAGGGAACAGCTAAGGAACAAGGGTTGACTCAGGAGTAAGGGCACAGGTGGATGGTGAATGGCCCCTCCCATAGAGAATAAAGAGGAGTAGTGTTTGCAGAAGACAATTAGTTTGTTTAATTAGGGTTCCTGATTCCTTGTCAAGTAATTGCTGCTACAGCGTGGCGTTTGCAAGCTATCGGCCTGGAAACTCTCCAAGCCTGACAAAGGTCTGTGGTTGTCAGAGAAAACGGGCTCCCAAGCTCCGTTTCTGGCTGGAGCAGCCTCCTACAATCCTCTGCCAGGGAAAACAGAGCCCGGGAGGGCCTGTGATGACCCAAAGGGGCGTGGCACAAAGGCAACACAGTCAGATAATCAATAAGAGTGCCTTTATTAGCTCCAATTTTGCCTCCAATGTCCAGATTACCTTCTGGCTGGAGAAAAACTCTCCCAGGAACAGCCTTTGACTATAGAAAATTAAGTCCAAAACATGGTCAACACAAATTGTAACTTAAAGTCCAAACAAGCGAAACTGAAATAATTAGTTTGGCAGGGCAGGAGCAAGAATTTCAGACTTGAAGGTATGGCAAAATTCACACAGTTGGGAAGATGCCAGGAACACAGATAAGCCACGACAACACAAGATAAAGTCATGTTTGCTGCCAACAGCCTGCAGCATGCAGCCTGCCTTTCCTATCAACTGTCTTCCCAGGTGTGGCTAATGGATGGAATCAGGGCCCTTTCCTCCCCCGTAAGCCACACAACCCACGTTGCTCCCTTCTCCGTTCCTCCCTGCGTGTCAAAGGATGAAGAGGGAGTGGGCCTGGGTCTTTCTCTGAACTCCCTCTCCCTTGTTCTATCTCTCCCCTGCTCTGCCCAGCCTGACTTTGTCCTTCCTCAGCCTTCTCCACAGCCAGCGGAGTCACACTCCCACTCCCTGTCAGCTGTCCAGCTTCCTCCTTGGATTCAGACTCTGACGGGGCATTGACAGGGTCTCACACACTTCCCTCGCAAGCTCTGTTTTCAGCTGCAATGGCCTCCTGCAACCCTCTGCCAGGGAAAACGCAGCCCGATGCCAGTCCAGTCCTTCGGGCCAGATCTGGCCCCCTGGCCTTGAGTTTGACACCTCTGCTGTACCTGTTGCAAGAATATTTTGTACGAGACTCATTACATTTTTATATTTTGCTTATTCTAAAGAAGTCACTCAGTGGCAAAATAAATATTTTTTTTCTGGGGCATTTCTGAATGAAATTGGATAAAAACAGCTCTCTTGCGTAACTTAACTCATACAGCATGAAGGATAAGTAGGACAAGTATTGTTTGCCTAAGCTTCCGATTGTTCACCCTTCCAATTAAATCTTTCACTTTTTCGAGCCTACGAGCTTATTGCCGAAGAAAGTAATTTGACGCTGAAAATACAAAAGTAAAATTGTGGATGAGAGAAAAAGTCGGGTTGTCACAGCACCCAGTCTGCGATTCATATCTATTTGATTAGACTAGAAAAGGGACATAAAAGCCAATAATAAGTCGCAGCAGGAATTCTTCTGGATATTTTTGCCCTTATGGCCATTGTGAAGGTAAAGGTACAGAATTTTCTCCAGAGCAAAAGATCTCAAACGAAAGCTCATCCATTGTTGTCACAACAGCTTTTTATTAAAAGGACACGGAGTCCTTCAGTTATAGCCATGGGGTAGCCTGCCCATCACTGCCGTAAATCGACTTATCCGTGTGGCCGATTTTATGCCCTTTTTTGTGGCTGTAGTTCAGGCTGCCGTGCTTGTAATACAACCTCTACAGTTGTCAGGTGAGGCCATGATTAACAATGGGTCAGTTTGGCTGAAAGCTGACAAACTCAGTCAGGTGATTGTAGGACATGGAAATGCTTGTAAATGTAGATGGTTCCTGAATTTATTTATTTTATTATTTTATGTTATTTTTTACTTTTCATTTTGTATTTTATTTTTTGTTTTATTCTATTTTGTTATTTTATTTTTTATTTTAATTTTCTATTTTATATTATTCTATTTCATTTTATTTTATTTTTCTATTTTATTTTGTTATTTTATTTTTCTATTTTATTCTATTCTATTTTATTTATTTTTTATTTTATTATTTATTTTATATTTTATTTATTGTATTTATTTTATTTTATTTCTAGAAAATTTATATTGTTGCCTGCTTGCCCATGGTGACTCAAGGTGGTTAACCCGGATATAAAAACCGTATAAAAGAAAGAAAAAGAATTAAAAAAGATAAAATAATAAAATAATAAATTAGTAAAATAATAACCTCGCCACCCCGGCGATAACACACATTCATATTAACCATTTCATGGGCTCCATCCCGCTCTGGGTTCCCCAGGCCCTCTGGCAGAACCAGGTCTTCAGCCACCAGGTGTATCTCCTTAGGAGATGGAACCCACAACATTCTTGGCTTCCCCACTCTGGTGGGTCGGGTAGATGAGACTGGCAAGAGACGGTCCCTCACATGTCCGAAGTGCGGTCATGTATCATGGGGTGGGGACAGCCGTCAGAATTTCTAATCTGGGTCGTACGTACCCCTGAAGAGGTCCGTTGTAGTTTCAAACGCTCACTAAGCGATTGTCCATAAGTCACGGCCTAGCTGTATTGAATTTCTATTCAGGTAGTCCTTTACTTATGACCACAATTGAGCCCAAAATTTCTGTTGCTAAGTGAGACAGTTGTTACAAGTGAGTGTTGCCCCATTTTACAGTTTTCCCATCCATAGTTGTTAAGCGAATCACTGAAGTTGCTAAGTGAGTAACAGGGTTATTAAGCGAATCTGGCTTCCCCGTTGACTTTGCTTGTCAGAAGGTCGCAAAATGTGATCGTGTGACCCGGGACACTGCAACCGTCATAAGTACATGCCAGTTGCCAAGTGTCCGAAGTTTGATCATGTGGCCCCGGGAAACTGCAGATGTCATAAATACGAGGTCGTTGCCAGGGGTTACAAATGTTGATCGGGTGACCATGGGGATGCGGCAATGGCCGTAAGTGTGAAAAATGGCCATGAGTCACTTTTTTCAGTGCCGTTGTAACTTCAAGCGGTCACTAAATGAATGGCTTGTATGTCGACGACTGCCAGTACGCAGGGGTGTGCTGCTGGGGTTTGCAGGGGTTCGGGAGAGCCCCTAGCTAAGATTCTGTGCAATTTGGAGAACTCCCAAATCCCACTTCTGGTGGGTTGTGCCCGTCCCACATCGTCCCTCCCAGGAGCCCCCACATGGGCCATTTGGGATGCAGGCAAGTTCAGGGTGCGTGCGGAGGCTCAGGGAAGATGAAAAATGGGCCTTCCGGAGGTTTGGGCCCATTTCTGGCTTCCAGAGAGCCCCTGGAGCCGGGGGAGGGCGTTTTTGCCCTCCCGGAGGCTCGAGGAAAGCCTCCGGAGCCGAGGGAGGGCAAACCCCACACCACCATGGTGCCGGAGGTGTCAGTATTCCGGCACTTAACCCCAATTAAATCATGGGTCTCGAGCCAAGCTTCCAAGAAGATTTATTAGGAGTAAACATACCAGCACTGCCTGGGTGTAGTCGACTCTGAGGCACATCATTCATTGTCACCCTTGACCCAGGTTTTCCCCCACCCCCTGGGTGTATCATAATTCATGTTCTCCAGTGGGACACATCCATAGCCAAGAATCATCAATCTTGCTGTCCAGTTTCAATTTTGCATGGCAGAACCTTCGGTCACCTAGTTACTATCTATGAAAACATTTATGGAATGCACTGTCGGTTTGCAAGCTGCTGCACTGCTCCCCCTCTCTTTCTGTTGGCCACTCCAGAAAGACCATAGAATTATTTTCTGAGTTGACAGGAGGCTGACTAGGCCATATTCATCCAGTAACCAAGCAGAGAACCCTTCGCTAAAATTTTTGAAGCCCACCCCTGCCTTGTATGCTGTACGAAAAAGGTATAGCTGTTGCACAAGCTTGCTTGAAGTAATATCCATCTGTCTTTTCGTTTTGTTTTTCAGCTTCCATGTTTTTGAAACAGGCTTTTGAAGGCGAATATCCTAAATTGCTGCGGCTGTATAACGATTTCTGGAAGCGCCTTCAACAATACAGCGAAAGCATTCAAAGAAACGTGATTGCGAACGGCAGCGCCGAGCCCTTAGCCGAAGTTCCCCAAATAGAGGACGATGTGCAGGATCTATTCATGCAGAAGAAACAGGATTATGAGTACTAGCACTTCTGTCCGTAATTAGGGAACAGAATATTTCAGACTTCAGATTCCTTGCAACGAATTGGGCCATTTGCCTTAGCGCAGAAGGGATATTTATAAATAGAAGTTGGGTTTGCTGTTAACAAAGGCAGTGAATCTACTGCTATTCAGTCATTAGAATTGGCTAGTTTGAATGGAAGCAGATTGAAGCTTAGGGTGCGTTGGGATTGGTTTGTGAGACTTTTTATTTTTTACGCAAAATACTTGCGTACCTGAAGTTCTCACATTGTGGCTTCATTAATGGCCATAAAGCCACATTTCTGCTCTGAAAACTAGCCTCAAAACATGGATGTTCTCTTTGGGGATGAATGTGTTTAGTGCAAGGGTCTTCAAACTTGGCACGTTTAAAAGACTTGTGGACTTCAGCTCCCAGAATTCCTGAGCTAACATGACTGGAGGAGGAATTCTGGGAGTTGAAGTCCACAAGTCAAAGCTATCAAGTTTGAAGACTCCTGGTTTAGTGTATTCGGGAAACTTCATTTTAAGTTGAGAAATATATAGGTTTCATTAATGTTTCGTGTTGTAGGACGCCAATCACACTTAACTGGGGTTTTTGAATTACTAATTCGAGCAAGGCGTACATTTTGATAGAAGAGTATAGTGTTAATACCACTTTATACAGCGCTGGTAAGACAACACTGCATCCAGTTGTGGTCATAGTGATACAAAAAAGATGTTGACACTCCAAAAAGAGTGCAGAGAAGAGCCACAAAGATGGTTAACGGATTGGAGTCTAAACTGTATGATACTGTACATAATTATGGGAACTGGAGAATGCCTAGTTTAGAGAAAGGGACTAGGAATGACATGAGAGCACTCTTTCAATATTTGAGGGGCTGCTAGAAAGAAGAGGGGGACCAACTTATTCTCCAAAGAAAGGTTTGGCAACCTTAAGCATTGCAAGAGCCACAAAGGTTCTAATAGGGAGCCCCCTGTTTAATTCTGCAGCTGACCGGTTCCTCCACCATAGAGTCTTCTCCTAGCATAGCATCCTTTTTCCTCTACCTGTCCTAACTGAAAGCTCTATCAATTGTGGAACCGACTGGTGACAGGGAGCTGCAGCAGAGAGGGATGAAAGAGCCACATGCGGCTCCAGAGCCACGGGTTGCTAACAAAGCACCTGAAGGCAGGACAAGAAGTAATGGGTGGAAACAGATCCAACCTAGAATTAAGGAGAAATTTCCCGACAGTGGGAACAATTAATCAGTGGTACAAATTAACTCCAGAAGTTGTGGGTGCTCTATCACTGGAGGTTTTTAAGAAGAGATTGGACAGCCATTTGTCCAGAATGATATAGGGTCTCCTGCTTGAGCAGAGGGCTGGACTAGAAGACCTTCAAGGTCCCTTCCAACTCTGTTATTTCATATATACCCATCTACACACATCTCTGTGGATCAACACCTTTATAAGAACTAATGCTCATTACAGAGATACCTGCTTTTTAATTGTGGAGTTCAGATTAAAAAGAAAGTGTATGATTGTTTATGGCATCACTGAAAATTATCACTGTGCCCTGGTGGTCAGTGGTTAGAATGCGGTATTGCAGGCTAGCTCTGCCGACTGCCAGCAGTTCGATCCTGACTGGCTCATGGTTGACTCAGCCTTTCGTCCTTCTGAGGATTAGTAAAATGAGGACCCAGATTGTTGGGGGCAAGAGGCTCACTCTAAACCACTTAGAGAGGGCTGTAAAGCACTGTGAAGCAGTATATATACGTCTTAAGTGCTATTACTATTTATGGGACTACCTACAATGATCATTACATTCTTGTCATGACTCAAAGAACTGGACCACACGTTAAGTTCCACTTAAACTATACACAAGAAGTGAACTAGCAGTTGGCACTAAATTGGCACTAGATAAAAGTTGATGGAATTCAAGAAGGGTTGGACTGAGACCCTTTGTGGCTACATAGAGATTCTAGGCTGATTCCTCTCTTGACTCCACACCCAGTCTCTGTCCTTCTCCTACACCAGGGGTCGGCAACCTGTGGCTCTGGAGCCGCATGTAGTTCTTTCATCCCTCTGCTGCAGCTCCCTGTCGCTCAAAATATATGTCACAACCACCAATGTGTGACACTTGTCGGCACGCAATTTATTGAACTTTTCAAACCCCGGTAGGTTTTGTGGCTCCCGGTGTTTTCTTTTCTGTAGGAAATAGATCCACATGTTTAAGGTGTTTAAGGTTGCCGGCCCCTGTCCTACACCATTCCCAACCTACAATAATCCTTCAACAGAGAGGAATGGAAAGCACTGTGAAGCAGTCTATGTCTTAAGTGCTATTGCCATTACTTTCTGCAAAAGATGAAAAGTCAAGTCCCAGATGGGTTGCCGTGTTAAGGCGCGTTTGCAAAACGAAAATAACTATTTTTGTCTCCCTTAATTGCCCCCGCTTTCTAGCCCGGAGAAAGCACTGAAAAATTCTTTGCAACCGTACGAAGCTGCCTACCTATCGAAGTCACTGTCGCGACTCTTTGATCCCATCAACCTGGTGTTTCCTCCCGGAGGTCGCAACCCTCCATCGGCCGATGAACTGGACAGCATCATTAAAATCATTGCAAGGTGAGTGGTAAGGTAATAAGTTTCAGCGCGTAACGTATGAAGGGGTTTTTTTTCGCCTTCGTTCCAAAATCACAATTCATGTTCCCAAAAATCACATTCTTTGCAGTTGCATTATTCATTTCTTATTTTTTTTGCTACTGTTTATCAACTTAAAAATACTTCTTTGGTCTTTTTAGTTGCCAGCATAAAGGGAGTGGGGGGAAATAGTGCATTCCTCAAATGTTTCAGATAATTGCTTAAGCAGCCGAAGCTTCTGGGGCACAAGATTATTTCTGGAGAGCATGATTGATGACTCTTGGCTATAGATGTGTCCCATTGGAGAATGTCATGCCCCTTTGGAATCTGATTCCGAAGGGGAGATTGAACAGCTGACAGAGAGTGGGATTGTGGCTCCTGTGGCTGTGGAGGAAACTGGGGAAGGGCATAGTCCAGCTGGGCATTCAGAGGTAGACCTAGGGCCACCCCCTCTTCATCCTAGGGCACGCAGGGAGGAACGAATAAGGGAGCAACATGGGTTATGGGGGAGAAAAAGGCCCTGATTCCCTTCATTAGCTGCAGCTGGGAAAACTGGATAAAGTGGCTGTTTGTGCACAGCACCTTGCTGGAAGCAAAGCGTGCATTATCTTTGTTTGTCGAGGCTTATCTGGGTTTTGGCGTCCTCCCAACCATGTGTGTTTCGTTGTCGTTTGAAATCTGCAATTCCTTATCCTGCCCTGTCTTGTTAATAGCTGCAGCTGTGGTTTGTGTTGGTTTTTATTTATAATTTAGATGTACTTTGGGTTGAGACTGAATTTCTTCCCTTTAAAAACTGTTCTTGGGAGAGTTTTTTCTCCAGCCAAAGATAACTGGACATAGAGGGTGAAGTTGGATGCATTAAAGGGACTTTACCTACTTTTGTGACTTTGTTACTTTTGTGCCACACCCTGGGTCATCACAGAGGATATACATCCAGGGGGTGGGCAGAAGACCAGGATCAAGGGGGAAATGAATGATGTATCTTAGTGTCAGCTGCCCCCAGGTAATGCCGACATGGCCACTCCTAATAAATCATTTTTTTTACTCTGAGAGGGATGTGGCTAGAGACTTGTGATTTGAATAGGGGGGGATTTGTCTGAGTCCTGACACTAGTATTGTTTTTTCCCTAGTGAGCTGAACGTGGCAGCTGTGGATGTAAACCTCAGCTTTGCGGTATCAAAAAACGTGGCCAAGACTATCCAGTTATTTGGTGTGAAGTCTGAACAACTTGTAAGTCTTTTTTTAAAAAAAGAAAAACTAAAATGTTTTAAAATACAGGTAATCCTGGATTTACAACCCTTCATTTAGTGCCTGTCCAAAATTACATCACTGAAAAACTGACTTACGACTGTTTTTTGTGCTTATAAAATATCACCCCCAAAGCACCTCCCCCAAAGCAATTAATCCAGGCTGCGCGGGAACACAAGGCTGCGCCACCCACACGGCCCGCGGGAACACAAGGCTTGCGTCGCTTGCATTGCAAACAACACGAGGTAGTGAGCGGAAGGGGGGAACTTGCCCCATGCTCCTCATCTGCCTGGTCTGTCCACTGGGTTGCTTCTTTCCACTTCTTTCTTCTGCTTTTGGCTGTATGCAAGGAAAGCAGCAGAAGTCTTTCTTTCTCTCCCCCAAACTCCGCCAGAAATGAGTCTTTGGGACCCTGCAAGGCCTCCTGCTCCAAGAGGCTGTGCCAGCGCAACAAATCTCACAAAGACTCATTTCTGGCTGAATTTGGGGGAGAGAAAGACTTCTGCTGCTTCTGCTGCTTTCCTTGCATGAAGCCCAAAGTCTCTCTCTCTCTCTCTCTCTCCCTGAGAACGGAGCTGGAGACAGTATCCTGTGATCCCAAATAAAGAATGATCAATCGGTAGGAAAACGGGGTGGGGAATTTTCCTGCAGACTTTTTGGGGGATTTTCCCAAGGTCTCTAGTCCGCAAGATTTAAAATTATGAGTTTGGTGGTCCCTGAGGTCCAAAAGGTTGGCGACCCCGATCTAGTGCAACCCCCTGTTTAGGCAGGAGAATTTGTATCTTCAAAATGGTTGCCCAATCTCTTCTTAAATACCTCCAGGGATGGAGCACCCACAACTTCTGAATGGGATAAAACCAAGATGCAGAATCCAACTTGGCAACCAACGTAGGCCTATAAACTGACCTGCAGAGGGAGGAGCAGGCTGTGCAAAATAGAACAAATAAATAAAAATCAATAAGCTGCTGAAAATAATTGAGGAGTTGGCACCGTTCATGCCAGTAATGAGATGGCTAATCTGTTAGCAAAGCATTATAAAAGCCAAAATATGTTTTCCTGGCTTTCACATAATGGCTAAATTTGCCCAACGCATTAGACTAGCTGAAAATAGGGTTGGATATTTGGGATTATCCAACTATAAACCAGACCATCTTCTTAAACCACAATCCGACATGCTTATTTGCGTGTTATGCAAATTCTAACAGACAGGAAGCAGCAGGTGAAGCTAGGCAGAATCACATCAGATACCTGTACAATTAGCACAGTGGCGCCCAAGGCTGTGTGCTCTCTCCACTTCTCTTCTCCCAATATACCAATGACTGCATCTCAACTGATCCATCTGTTAAAATACTGACACAATACTAGCACAAAAGTTTTAGATTGGAAGATTAATGCTTGCTGTTCTCGTCAGTGGCTCCTAACATATTTCTGAATACTTATTTCTATTGATTGGTGCTGAATCGTGTCACTTTTATTCTGAACACATAGATGTAATTCAACTCCATCTTGTTTGTGACTCCTTTTATTTACTAGACATTTGTCAGAGATGGATTCTACCATCCCCATGGTGCCTTATTGATCTGTATCGTATCTCTGTGGTATGCCTCATTATTGCTTTAAAAATCCGCCATTTAAATGGGGAACTGTGTTTGCAGGCTGCTCCGTTAATAATCTCTCGTATCTCCATAGCGTCGTCAATCTGCCATTGAAGTGAAATAAAATCAGTTCACATTTATTGTGGCTGTTGCAAGGATGGTTGGATAATTTCTATTAAGCTGCAAACAGGGAAATGATTTCTGTTGATCTGTAGTTCTCTTTCTGTAGCAAACAAAGCAATAAAATAGAATAGAAATAGAGTAGAGTAGAGTAGAGTAGAGTAGAGTAGAGTAGAGTAGAATCAGTAAATAGAATGGAACAGAACAGGATAGACACAACACAATACAATGCAGGATAGGATAGGATAGACACAATGCAATAAAATATAGGATAGGATAGGATAGAGAATAGAAAATAGAATACAATACAATACAATACAACATAGAATAGAATAGAATAGAATAGAATAGAATAGAATAGAATAGAATAGAATAGAATAGAAACAGAAACAGAAACAGAATCAGGGAATGGAGTGGAACAGAGCAGAATAGAATAGACACAATACAATATAACGCAGAATAGGATAGGATAGGATAGGATAGGATAGAATAATAATAGACTAGAATAATAGTAGAGTAGAGTAGGAATAGGAATTAGAATAGAATAGAACAGAACAGAACAGCAGAGTTGGAAGGGACCTTGGAGGTCTTCTAGTCCAACCCCCTGCTTAGACAGGAAACCTTACAGCATTTCAGACAAATGGTTATCCAATCTCTTCTTAAACTAATAATAATAATATAACTTTATTTTATTATTACGGTATTCCTCTATTGGCTTATCTGGAGGAACTTCCACTCCAGTGGAATGTAACTGGGAATCCAGCTAGCCCTCCAACTACAACAGTTTGTTTAGTGACCATTCAAAGTTACAACAGCACTAAAAAAAAGTGACTTACAACCATTTTTTCCACCTTTATGACCGTTGCAGCATCCCTGTGGTCACGTGATCAAAATTCAGGCGCTTGGCAACTGACTCACATTTATGACGTTTGCAGTGTCCCGCGATCCCCTTTTGCAACCTCCTGACAAACAAAGCCAATGGGGAAGCCAGTTTCACTTAACAACCATGTTGCTAAACAACTGAAGGGATTCACCTAACCACTGCGGCAAAAAATGTGACCATCGTAAATATGAGTTGCCAAGAGAAGAGACTCTCTTCTGGCACTTTGGCTAGGCCTCGGGCAGTGGTGGCTAACCTTTTTGGGCTCCTGTGCCAAAAATTGTGTGTGCGCTTCCACGCTCAGTCTTGCATGCCAGCACCTAGAAGACAATGCACGCCCCCCGCAAGCCCCGTACGCATGTACGCACAATCCCTCCATGCCACCCCCCTTACCTGCACTGTGCCTCACAGCTGATTTTCGGCCAGTTTGAGGCCTTTTCGGCCTCCCAAAGGGTTGAAGAAAGCTTCTGCAGGTTTCTGCAAGCTTTGTAGGCTGAAAACTAGCCCCGTTTTGTCACTTCCTGTTTTTCCAAAAATACCGGAAGTGACGAAACGGGGCTAGTTTTTGGCCTACAAAGCTTGCAAAAGCCTTCCAAAACCTTTGGGAGGCCGAAAAAGGTCTTAAACCAGCCCCAAATCAGCTGTGAGGTACGCAGATGCTCAGGAGTTAAGTTTCCCTGCAACTCACGTGCCAGCACAAATGGGTGGCACACACGCCATAGGTTCGCCATCATAGGCCTAGGGCCCAGAGTTCAAGTCTAGAAGATCCTTCTGTACGTCGAATCCATCTTCCAAATTTTGATTATTATGCTTCCTCATTTTCATCCAAAATAGCACTTCCTATCATAACATCCAGACTTTGTCTCATTTCCGAATACTTTTCTGGCCTTAAACATTTAAAACAGATTGTTATGCAAGGAAAGACATTTTCTTAAGAGGATAGAAAGTTCCACACATTAATCATATTTTAAGCAGTATCTTTATTTTTAGCAAAACACAGAGAAATCATTGCAGGGAAGATACGGACAGTAGTAAGTTTCCAATGTGATCAGCTGAAAAAACTGATGGAGTGCAAAGCAGTGAGCCGGTATCCAATATTTTTCCTTTTTTTTTACGTTCCAGAATTTCTTTGATCTTGAGACATTCCTTAAAAACCTGAATGTTTTGTATTTTAACCATACACAGGGGTGGTATTCTACCGGTTCGTACCGATTTGAACGAACTGGATATTAAAGTTACATCTTCCGTCCTAAGGACCGGCCCATAGATTTCCGAATGCTCTTCTCTCCTCTGCCTTCTGCGCATCCGCGCATCAGCCACTGGAGCCAGCTGATCCTCAGGACAGAGGAAGGTCGTGTAGCAATTGTGCTTAGACTTATATACTACTTCACAGTGCTTTACAGCCCTCTCTAAGTGGTTTACAGAGTCGGCACATTGCCCCCAACAATCTCCTGCTTGGGAAGGGGATTGGATTAGTTGCCATACAAGGTCTCTTCCAATTCTAATAATCTAATCTAATCTGGGTTCTCATTTTACCGACCTCGGAAGGATGAAAGGCAAAGGAGTGAACCTTTGAGCCGGTCAGGTTTGAACTCCTGGCAGTGGGAATGCAGAGTTAGCCTGCAACACTGCATTCTAATCTCTGCGCCACCATGCCCCTTGTAGTTGGAGGCATTTCCACATGACCATATTTCCCCAGGTTAGGAAGCAGACTATTTCTGAAATAGCGGGCACTGAAGTTGTCTGCACTGGCTAAGAATCCTAAAAAGGATACTACGAAGAATAAGAGAATTATAGAATTGGGTGGGACCTTGGAGGTCTTCTAGTGTTCTGACCCAAACCTGGTTCCAAGGAAGCAAACATGAGACAGAAGTAATTGCACCACCTTTTAATGATTCCTTACGAATCCCATTCCTTCACGGGTAAAAGGCTGTTTCAAACTAATTAGCTCCGATAAGAAAGAGCCTTGCCAAGGTTGGGCAAGGCTGCCAAGAACACCAGATAAAGTTACTAAGCAATAATTCAAACACAAAGAGTCTTCAAACGCCAACCAAGAGATTCTGAATGTCCACCAGGCTTGAGTGTAAAATTCTTTGCTTCCTGCAAAGAACTGCGGTTTCTCAGCTGGCTTTTATCTCCTTAGGGAGGGGCCATTACCTTGCAGCCTTACTCCCGAGTCGCCTGTGCTCCTGCAGCTGCTTTCCTTCGAGCAGCCCTGCGCACATGTGCACTGGCACAGGCTCCTCAGGGTCCTCTTCATCACTGCTGCCAGCCTCCACAATCTCTGAAGGCAGCACTCCACTCCCTGATGGTCCTGGCCCCATCCCTGCATCACAAGCAGGCCCCTCATCTGAGTCCTCGCTCTCTGAGACCTTAGCCGTCTGCAC